TCGCGTTTATCATATCAAATAATTTGAAGTAAATGGAAAAAAATAAAAATAACAAAATGTAATTCTTTTTTTAGCGTAGTAGCGCACCCCAGGTATACGCTAGTTAATTTTTATTACACACTTTGTCGTTCAATTTCCTTCAATTTGAGTATTTTTGAAGCACATTGAACTACTAAAATAGGTATTATAACCACTGTTGTGCCCGTATTACATCTGTGTATTTTTTCGTGTATTTATTCATGTAGTTCAGGGTGCCAACATTATTTTGTTGTTCATAATGCTGATTTATGTTGCGTTTGAAGTTTTTCGGTTGTCGCCCTGAACATGAAGAAATACACGGAAAAATACACAGATGTAATACGGGCATTGGAGTGCACGAAGTATTTCGTGCTCTAGTGCGCAAAGTATTTCGTGCACGTCGCTAAGGTAAATACAACCAATTTGAGATATTTCGCACAGAAATGAGTGTGAAAATGTCGTAATTTTTTGACAAATTGTGTTTTTATTCGTCAGATTACATAACCTGACAGTTTATCAGAAGGTGAATAAGCCGGCCCTAAAGAAACGATAAATGGGTAAAGCTTGTTTTTTTTTTTAAATAAAAAAATCTGATATTCCTGTGACCTAGTAAATTTACCTCATGGATTCCGCAGAATTTATCTCCATTGAGTTTTTTTTTTTTAATTTGATGGATGAGCATCAGTAATATCATTGTTATTGTCATTATCGATGCTGAGATAGTTATTTTCCTAACAAATGCGCAAAGTGTTACTTTTCCGCACGCAAGCACAGTTAAAGTCTGTTTTTTTTTAAAGATTCCCCAAGTCAAAAATTTAGTGAGCAACTATGTTGGCAACACAAGCCTTTTCTACATTAAAAATTTGAAAGCATTGACAATTTTACATTGTATTGCCAACATAATGTCATTTTGACTTTTATCTTTAAAAAAAAAAAAAAACAGACTTTATACGAACGACGTCAAGCGGAGTTCGGATAAGTTTTTGGACGAGGAAAAGACACTTTGCGCACATGTTGGGAACAAAATTTTACCGCATTTAGTGTACATTAATAAAGGATATGAACAATATCAAACGTATTTTTAAAAGAGTACGGTAAAGAAGTTTCATCTACGAACGTGCGGTAACTAAGGTATATCACACGATTTTGCGTGCGGTATGTACCATATAACCGCACGACGTGTGATAATTTTATTACCGCATGACGTGCTGTAATAGCGTGTGGTAATATTATTACCGCATGCCTTCAATTACCTACCTATCACCTAAATTCTAACCGTCCACTGTCAAATTAATGTGCCAGAAGCAATTTTATTTTATATAATTTTCCAAACTTCTATCGGATATTTTGCTACCGCACGGTTGTAGATAAAATACTGTATATAATTCGTATGGTAATTAGATTATGTCCGCCCTTAGAGATTGCAAAGCTCGCCTCACCGGCTCGGTTGGCAAATTTCTCTTGTGTGCGGTAATAACCTAAATACCACACTTGTTTTGTAATATACTATCACAGCACTGCGGTAAAGAATTTTTATGTACGACCCACACTGTAAGAGCTTATTACGTAACTCATTTAAGCCTGTTTGGGTGTTTGAGTTAAGTAATAAGTTGTATTATCGTACTTAGTGATGTAATCAGCTCATTACATCACTAGTGATGTAATATAAATCACTTGTGATGTAATGCGCTCATTACGTAACTCATTTTCATTGAAAAACGGCACTTTTTAAAATTAATTTATTCGGAAAAGTTATAAATTTAATCTTTTGTGGAAAATAAAACCAATTTGGAATACATACAAAAAAATCTGCGTCATACATAAAATGCTGTATATCACACGTACGGTAACGCTCGTTACACCACTCGTGTGATTACCACTCTTTACTGTAATAAATGAAGTTCATACCGCACTTGTGATATAAATAACTATTACCTACGAACGTGCGGTAATAGTTATTTACCTAACAAATGCGGATGTGTTAGGTACAAAATTTTACCTATGAGCATCTACATCTCCAAAAAAAGGCATTGATAAAATTAATTAATGAATCAGATTAATTAATGAAATAAGATTAAATTCAGAAATGATCAAAAATCCATTTTCTGAAAGAGAAAGGAATTTTGATTAAAAATATCAAATTCTACTTTACCGCACACTATGCGGTAAAGTGCACTTTACCGCACACTTTGTAGTCCACTTTACCGCATACTATACTGTAAAGTTAACTTTACTGCATAGTGTGCGGTAAAGTGATACTTTCCATTTTCAAATACGTGCGGTAAAGTGCACTTTACCGCACGCTCGTAGGTAATAGTTATTTACCTAACAAATGCAGAAAGTGATACTTTACCGCACGCAACGGCAGTTGACCGAACGACGCGAAGCGGAGTTCGGTCAAGCCCTTAAGGACAGTAAACGCACTTTCCGCATGTGTTAGGTACAAAATTTTACCTATGACCATCTAACATCTCCAAAAAAAAGCATTAATAAAATTAATTAATGAATCAGATTAATTAATGGAATTAGATTAGATTTAGAAATGATCAAAAATATATTTTCTGAAAAAAAAAAGGATTTTTCATCATAAATACCAAAATCTACTTTACCGCATACTATGCGGTAAAGTTAACTTTACCGCACACTTGCAGTCCACTTTACCGCATAATATGCGGTAAAGTAACTTTACGGCATAGTGTTCGGTAGAGTGCTACTTTCCATTTCCAAATAAGTGCGGTTAAGTGCACTTTACCGCACGGCATGCGATAATATTATTACGGCACGCTCTATCCACATAGGTACGTAATACCTTCAATCGCCTACCAAAGATATATTACCTATACCTATCACCTAAATTCTACTTGTTCACTGTCAAAAGTGAAAGGCTCATTTTTTTCATCATTCTTTAAACTTTTTTTAGATATTTTGTTACCGCAAGATTGTAGATAAAATACTGTATAATAGGTATGGTAATTAGGCTATTACCGCCCTAAGAGATTGCAAATTTCTCTCGCGTGCGGTAATTACCTAGTTACCACACCTATTAATTATATTAAATAATGTAATATTACCATTTCACCTAGATTTTTTTCATAGGAAGTCGTCAATTTTTACGTTCAGTAGATATAAACGTAATCTTTTCCTATCAAAAATTTCTGAAGTTGTACCACAGCTTTTACCCAGTTTATTTTCAAAACACAAAAGGCAATGCAAAAACTCTTCGACGGCACGGAATGGTCAAAACAATTATTGAGATAAGAATAAATATTATTTTATTCCCGGGATGTTGTCGAAGCTCCGGCCGGGGGTTGGCGGAGCAGTTCTCAGTGTTGCCATGCCATAGAATATGTAGTAGCGATTGCATGAATTGATCCGAAATAATACATTTTCTGTTTTTTTATGTTTAACAAGAATGTACGTGTTTAATAAAAAAATTATATGGGTAAAAAATGTTAGTATTTTAACATAGAAATGTGAGAAGTATTTTATATTCCAACCTTTTTTTTTTTGAGAGGCGAGATAATTTTTAGAATTACTTTTTTCTATAAAAAAATACTTTTCATTCTTCTGTGATTCATCATCTATCATCCCACCAAATTTCATTGATTTTGATCCAATACTTTAGACGTAAATCAAAAAATAGTTTAACCCGTCGCACAGAGGTACCCAGGCCTCTTAAGGAAGAATTTTCATTTGGGGAAGTTAGCTATAATTTTGTGAGGGATGTTCTAAACAGCATGAAAAATAAAAAAAGTGGGGATATATGATCTCAATATACAGCTTATCAAGAACATAAAAAATATTATCTTGGTACCATCGACAAAGATGATAAACCTAAGCTTTAGAGAGAATACATTTCGTTAGTCACTCAAAAGGGCTGTAATTACTCCGATTTTTAAAAAAGGGGACAGGAATGACATTTCTAACTATTGTCCCACCTCCTTGTTGCCAATTTTGTCGAAGGTAATTGAAAGGTGCATGGCATGCAGAATTCCTGACTTCTTTGAGAGCAACAGCTTATTTACTGATGGCCAGTTTGGGTTCAGAGGGGAAAAAGGCACAGTTCTTGCAGTCCTCAATCTTCTCTCGAACAAAATGGATGCTTTTGAGAAACATGAACACCTCTTAGCACATTTTTATGACCTGAGCAAGGCTTTTTTTTGATTGTGTTTCGTGTGATGTCCTACTGAAGAAATTAAAGTTCTACAATTTCTCAGAGGACGCCATACAACTACTGGAATTGTATCTGAGTGAACGCACGCAAATGGTAAGGGTGGGGGGAGTGTAGTCTTCTGAGGGTTTCTTAAGGGTAGGTGTACCACAGGGCTCTGTTTTAGGACCTATTCTTTTCCTCATCTTTATGAATAACCTACCAATGAATGAACTGGCCAAATACATACTTTTTGCAGATGACACTACTCTCACTATTCAAGATAATGATCTACGTGCCTTGAGGTGAAGGTCGCGTGAGGCACGATTGGAGGCCGAAAGTTGGTTTAACGGCAACAGGCTTATGCTAAATGAGGAAAAAACTCAAACAATGCTGTTTTCAATGCGAGATACTCAGTATTTCATAAATCCACCTGAAGTAAAGTTTTTGGGATTATATCTCGATCCAAAACTCACATGGGATGTGTATACAGATAATATGTCAGGAAGGCTGAGAAGCAGTGTTTTCTTGCTGAGGAATCTTTGTGACTGTATATCTCGGGACACAGTGTTGAGAGTTATGGCATGATTCACTCTGTCACGACATAAGGGATTCTAGCATCTATATCTATTTGCATATCAATTCAAAACCTTAACATTTTCCAGAAGAAAAAAGTTCCTGAATATATATATTTTTTTTTTGAAAGTTTGATTTTTCCCGAAATAAGATCAACAAATTTTATTTCGCAATTTTGTTAATTTCAAAAGTAAAATTAAAGTCGAAGGATAAAGCTAAAACGAATTTTTAGATTGCTGAAAATAATCAACAGTACCTTCTGCAGTTCCTTTGAAACCAAAGCATAAAATTCTAATGTGGGTCCCAGACCGGTTCCCACTTCGTTTTCGTATTGCACCTCCAATAAAGCCTTGGACCCCGCTAGATCTTGCATCACTTGCTCGGCTTGCTTCAGGATTTCCTCTCTGGAAATTGTACGCTTTCGTCTGTCCAGGCGAGGAGTAACACGTTCCTGAAAAAGTGTAATTACTACAAATCCAAATTTAAAAAAAAAAAATTCACCTGAGAATCAGTCGAGCTAAGTTCCGGGGACATATCCAGTAATCGTTGCAAGGCGCGATCTCGATCGAAAGAAGTGGCATAAAACAGCAGCTGCCTGGTTTCAAACGGAAATAGGAACGGACACACCGTGGCAATCTGATGCAACCAATTTGGTAAATTTCCCGTCATAATCACTAAAGGATCCTGCAACTGTCTACTGGCTTTTGCAGCAATCTTAGAATTGATAAATTCAGATGCCGGTAAAATGGGTTTGTACTCTACATTCGGATAGAGCGTACCCCAATATAAATTGACAGCTTGTAAGATTCTCAAGAGACACAAAACTTCCAGAGAGGCGTCTTGAATTGTAACAGTTTCTGGGAGTTGAGTTGTCAGATATGGCGAGAGAGGCGACTGGGTAATTGGGGTAACTCCTGAAAATAATATTTATGAAGAACTATTTTTAATATCTCAAAAAAATAAAATCAAATTGTGAAAATATTATTACTTAATTGATTTTGCAATGCTCAAAATTAAACACTTAGTAATCAGAATAATATTCAACTAATCAAATCCAATTATTACCTTCAGTCCAGAGATCATCGCCTTTCCTCCTTGACGTACTCTTGCCAGATGATCCTTTACCTTTCCGGCTAGAGTGATTCCAATTTGAACTAGTACTTGTGGTGCTTTTATGGCCTTGACTTGTGGTTTCTTCTTTCAAAGGCCTAAAATAGATTTTTATTATGTCCTGGTAATCAATACAACTGATGTATTCACCTGTAATGTATAACGTGTGTTTGTACCCATATGCCAGCATTACCCAAAGGCATCTCATTATCAGTATCGGTTTCACTCTGGTCATTGCCGTTGTTTGAAAACTGACGCACAGCCTGATATACTGTCATATTGTAGGGAAGAACTGTATTGCCTGCAAATATTCTTTCTGATAGAAGAACCTTTAAAACTCCAATTTTAATATTTACCTATTAAAAATTGTAATTTATGTCTATTTCCAGACTGAGATATAGCAACTCCTGCCAGGGTATCGTCAATGTCAGTATCCGAGTCGCCATCATCACTATCCGCAGTATCTTTATCTCTCAGTCTTCCATAACCTGAACAATAAAATAAAGTTCAATAATTATTTTATTTGATTAACAATCAAGCTTACCTCTAACAACTAAATACCGTTCGATGGCTTGCACCAAAGCCAACGGGTCTATTTTAACTGTACCACCCTTCCACTGTTTCAAATTATTACAATCTGGATGTCTTTGCAGGTTGCACTTCAACTGGTGAGTATTGAAGAACTTCAAAGCACTAGTGCCACCTCTGCCTGCACCGGAATTGGCTGGTAGGTCGTGCACTTTGACCGGGAACTGTTCCAATTGCGACACACAACCTGGAATAGATATAAATTTATTAATTTCTGATTGCTTGATAAATATATCAAGCAAAGAAAGTTGGAAGTATGTTGTAGGGAGGAGAACGAAGTTTCAGTTACTACTTTAAACTGGCAACACAGAGATCTCCCAAATTATTTTTGGAAAAAAAACACTTATTTGACATTTATTGTTTCCAATGTCAAACAGAACAAGGTCATTTCCTAAACAAGAAGACACATTTTGAAATTATAAAAAGTATAATTACCATTTAGCTTCAATACAAGGGCACTCATCCAAGTAGAATTGATTTCCCTGATTTCTCTGACATTATATTCTAATGGCAAATCAGCAAATACATTCAGCAAAATCCTGAGCCGTTGGTCCCTGTCAAATGGTCCATTCATATCGGCCAGATATGACAACAGCGCTTTAATAAGACCGGAATAATTCACTTCGAAGGGCGATATATCTGATTCGATGAGGATCTCTCGCAATTCCAACAAGGCTTCTGCGCATTTGCCAGTCGGAAGTTTGTCTATGGCCAATCTTAGGCGAGTTAGCACGGTGGTTGCCGGATGCTGCTCATCTTCTTTACCTAAAAGGATAAAATTACGTGATTTGATTAAAAATAAATAAAAACTTTTAACACAAAGATTATTTTAACGAAATAATGTATTCAGCATTTACAAAAAAAAATACTACATACATTAATCAAAAACTAGGAAAAGGTCAGCACTTGTATCCACTGCTAAATAAGCCCCTTTCCATCGTATTCCAACAAAAAAATGAAAGCAAAACTTACTGGCATAAGAATCAATAAACCTATTGGCCTGATCTCTGATCCAGGCTCTGGTCTTTTCCCGATTTCCGGCGGTGATGTGCGAATTAGATGCGGACTTTGATAAATTGTTCAATTCCTTGCTATAGTTGCGCTCGTGCGAAGAGTTCAGGCTTCTGCCCCACCTGGCTGGGTTCAGACTTTGCAAGAAGCTGGTTTTCGACGATGATCCGGAATATCTAGAGAGAAAAAAAAATTACAATGTGTTAGTTTATGAGAAATTTTTAATTCATCAAGGCCTTATTTATGCTTAACTTTCATAGAAAATTCAATTCTGCAAATTATTATAGAAAATTTACTAAAGCTGAGACTATTTTGCCCAGAATAAATAGGTGCCTTTTCCAGCTAAAAAGCTTATTTTTGTATAGAAATTGACTTTCAAAAGAATTGTGAAGAGTTCAATTCGAATCAATCGAGCCTTAATTCTGGGATTCTAGTTTTTTAATAGTGTTAGTTCAATTTCTCATAAAGCAAAGTGGTAAAGACTAGCTTCATTGGGTTACCCCTCGGGTTACCCCATTGGCCTTCAACAACCATTATATTATTCTTATGTTTATCACTTTTTGTTGAGCAGTTTAGGTAGAGATGGGAAAAAAAGAAGAGGGAGAAAAGGAGGAGGTAGAATGTAGAAGGAAAAACAGCCTTCAAACTTTATGAGTAGACACGGAACATCCACAGTTTACAAACCCTTCTTAACCAAATAAGAACAATTTCTTTCAAGACTGGTATGTTAGTTGAATATTTTTCTATGGTTGAACCAGGATATCGCGAATTATTTAAGTAAAGAAAAAGCTCATATATCCACGCCACAGTATCGAGCATACATTCAAAAATTCCAGAAAAAGTCTGTTTCATTCGGGAATAAATTTGCGGATATACCGGGTGTTTTTCAAAAGCCGCTCACCCCTATAACTTTTTTATTTTTAAAAATAAACAAATGAAATTTGGTATGCTTATTTGTGACCCGAAAGTGCATTATTTGACGTATTCAATTATTTTTTATCACTTCCGGTTTGACTGGAAGTGACCCTTACTTTCTTATTTTAAATGAGACGCCAGGTATATTTTCCCTTATTTCAATAGAAAACTACATTACGAGTACAATGACACCTCATTTGTCACTTTTTGACATTTCATCTCCAAATTATTTAAATTTTTACTTTTTAATCTAGAGCGCCAGGAATTAGTTAAAATGCTTAATTTTGTTCCAAGGAACCTGGGAAAATTTGTTTTGATCTCATTTTGTTTTTTATATCCTCGACAGACACATTTAAAGATAGTAGAAGCGCATTTTTGGAATTATATCCATTTTTTCAAATGGAAAGGGTATAGCTCGCTCATTAGCATATTCCGAGAGAGCATTTTCTAACGAACAATTTAGTACCTACCACACTCACTCACTAGTTTATTCAAATATTGAACTAAAATTTTCCAAAAATATTTAGAATGCTAGGAAAATTCTTCATTTGAGTGATGAAGTAGCGATTGTGTAGTACTGACTTACTCGTTAGAAAACGCTCTTTTGAAATATTGTAATGAGCCACACCCTTTCCATTTGAAAAAATTGAGATAATTACCAAAATGCACTTCTACTATTTTTTTAATGAGTCTGTAGAGGATATAAAATACAAAATAAGATCAAAACAAATTTTCCCAGGTTCCTTGGAGCAAAATTAAGCATTTTAACCCTCCATTAGGCGCGCGAGTTTTTATAACATCATTAGTCGCACTGTATCACACAGATACATGTACTAAATCATTGATAAAAAAATTGAACCATCTGATAAATTTCGGTTTTACAATTTCTATGTATTTATTCGTGTACTCAACAATCACTTTTTACTGAAAAAGAGATTCCAGAAGTTGGATTCTGTTTTCGCAATTGCAGTTTGGCCAACATCGCCTGGCAGCTTTACCATAATATTGTGTGGTCTCTTCCGAGTCAGCTTGGGAGGCATTTTGTCTTATCAAGTTCCATCTTCACCTAAGATGAACAGCCTCTTGTACCATAATATTAATATGAAAAAAAAACCAAGAAAACAGTTACAATTGAGGAGCACCGATGGTAACAAGAAAAGTCTCGTTGTATCAGTCAGGTACGAAGCCGAGCACACCCCTAGGTTTTTGGAAATTCCAAATTTCCAAGTAGAGGTACCACCATGTCATTTTGGGAAAGTATTTAGTATAGGGTACCTGAGGACTAGTACAAGCCAAAATATTATAGGGTTTGTCCCTTTTGATTTATTTGCAAAAATAATAGGCATGTATCTGTCAGATTGTACCCGTAATGTAGTTTTCCATTGAAATGAGGAAAAATATATCTGGCGTCTCATTTACAATAAGAAAGTTAGGGTCACTTCCGGTCAAACCGGAAGTGATAAAAAATAATTGGATAAGTCAAATAATGCACTTTCGGGTCATAAATAAGCATACCAAATTCCATTTGTTTATTTTTAAAAATAAAAAAAGTTATAGGGGTGAGCGGCTTTTGAAAAACACCCGGTATAAAGGCCGGTATTAGTTTCTAGTTTTTAAGTTTAAGTTTGACTGGGATATGATTTAGATAGTGATTATTGTTGAGAGTTGTAAAGAGTTTAGTTGTTTGAGTTAATTATTGAACTAATTAGTATCAGAGTGTATAGTAACGTGGGATAAATTATTGTTGTGTTAATTGGACTTTGATTTTGGAATAAACGGACCCAAGATTTCTGACACACAACCCAGAGCCGTGACAGTAATATCTAGCTACAATGAATAATAATAATAATAATAATAGCTTTATTGCCCAACAGAGTTACCCATTTACAGAGAAATTTCATACAAAAATAACACAAAATAAACAATATTATAATAACCCATAAAATTATTAAATAGCAGCAAACACACCCGAAGCAACTGACTGCAAACAGCTGAGAGTACAATTGAAAATATCACATTCTCGATCAATTCTATTGAAATTACTACACATTATAGTTATCGGAGATCTCAGGAGAATATTGGTTTTTGCTCTAGTACAATAAAATGTTAAGTTGTTCCTGCTTTGGAGTCTGGGAACCAAGAAATTCAATTTCGAGAGTAAGTGAGAACAATCGATCTTCCCGTGTATCAATTTGAACAAGAATGACAGAGAAGCCAATACTCTCCTATGCTCCAGGGTTTGCATGGTGAATCTACTCAGTAGCACTCCATGGTCAAACCCTTTTACTGGATAGGTTCCGTCCATTTTAAACATTACATACTTTAAAAACCTTCGTTGTACTTTTTCCATTATAATTTTGTTGACACTGTAAAACGGATACCAGATTAAACAACCGTACTCAAATTTTGAGCGTATGTAAGCATAGTGTGAGTAGGGCGTTTGTATTATCAAATCCTTTACAATTCCTCACTATAAAGCCGTAAACCGTACTTGCCTCATTAGCTTTAGTTTTGATATGGTCAACAAAAGTAAATTTATAATTAAACATTATACCCAGATCTGTGACAGAGAAACATCGTAACAGTGCTGTATGGTTTATTGCATATGCGAAAGTGATATAAGTCAGTTTACGGGTAAATGTAATACATTTTCATGTAGACACATACAAATTTAAACTATTTTCGGCACACCATCTTTGAACAGTAGTTAAATTAGTCTGCAGATTTTCACAATCACTCAGACTGTCAATTGGAGAAAAAATCTTGAGATCATCTGCAAATAATAATTTTCCAGAGGTAAGTTCATCAGCTAGATCGTTAACAAATAAAAGAAAAAGGAGAGGACCTAGATTAGACCCTTGAGGTTCTCCTGAGGTTGCCGTATATTTCGTAGACTTAAATCCATTGTAAAAAACAAATTGTTGCCGATTATTTAGATATGATGCAAAAAGTGCTAGGAGACCATCAGAAAATCCGAATCTATGCAACTTCGTAATTAATAACCCATGATCCAATCTCTCAAAAGCCTTGGAGAAATCCGTATATATCACATCAACCTGACCCCCCTTATCCAGAATTTCTGATATATCCTGTGATATATGCATTAGATTTGTTATGGTTGATCTTTGGTTCATAAAGCCATGTTGAAAAGGTGAAATTTGGCGACAGACTGATGCGTATACACGTTCATACAAAATGGTTTCAAAAATTTTGGAGAAATTGCACAGGATGGATATCGGGCGATAATTCGCCACCTGTGAGCGCTCACCAGACTTAAATACTGGGATGACTTTTGCCTCCTTCCACAGATCTGGGTATGTATGGGAATGCAGCATCAAGTTAAAGAGGATTCTTAAAGGGGTTACTAGCACACCTATGCAGTCCTTAACTAGAAAAGCAGGTATAATATCTGGACCAGACGTCATTTTATTTTTGAGCTTTTTAGATGCTTTCATTATCTCATCATCCGTTACGTCGTTGATATGAACTGTACTATATAAACTAGGCTGGGAAAGGTTATCACTAGGCACTGAGGATGGCAAAAATACACTTTCGAAAAACCTACCAAAAACATTTACTATTTCTTGGGAATCTATGTAAGTTTGCCCCTCGAATGCCATTGTATTTGGGATTATAGAGCTTCTGTTCTTACTATGAAAGTAAGACCAAAAGTATCGAGGATCACTATTAACACTTTGCTGTACAATGGAGATGTATGCTTTAAATGCGGCTTTGATATCTTGCTTAGTTAATTTTCTCAACCTTTTATATTCAATAAAAAAGTCCACAATGCCCGTCTTTCTATGTTTGCTCAATGCTCTCTCTTTAAGTTTTATATTCTTTATTATTCCAGCGTTATACCAGGCTGGAAAGGAACGTTTATATTGTTTATATTGCGGGACATGACTCTCCACCAAAGAGTATAATTTATCATAAAAACATTTAACAGCGTCATTTACAACATTATTTTCCCGCAAGAAACCCCAATCAGTATTTATAAGAGAGTTGTATAGAGATGGAAAGTCTGCCCTTTTAAAATTAAAAGCTTTGTTCTTTAAATTAGGAAGAAATTGGTCGTGCCTTTTGCAAGAAAAACTTTGAGTGGAAATGAACAAAGCAGGGTGCTATTTGTCCTCCTTGACAAAGGGACTGGCATTGTGAACAACGCTACAATCTAAATTTGTCACAACAAGATCCAACAAACGATCTGAGCAATTACGCACACTGTTGTACTGCTTAAGTTCAAAAAAATTCATAAAAT